AAGCGTCCAAAATGTTCCAGTTTTGTCCAAAGACATTCAGTTTTCTGGGAAAGAAACCAAAAATACTCACATTTAAGAAGCTGCAGCCAGAGAAAATTCGACTGTTTCTCTTGAAAAATGGCAAAAATCGATATGAAACTGAGGTTTACAGAGAATTCTCTGTAAAGAAGTCGTCTTTGGCTTTAAAAAAAACAATAAAAATAATCAGCAGGTTCGTCAGTCATGGAAATAATTATAAGTTGTTGTCTGAAGAGCATCAAAAATATAGATTTAATTCTATTTTTCCTTTTATACGTGCTCAGATAACACGTATACAACAGCTGGAGGTGGACGGAGCTGCAGCCGACTCATCATCTGATGGATTCAAGATTTTTTGTCTCTTAAACGTCAGATCTGTGTTTCCTGAAGGTGTCACAGAGGAGGAAAGAAACCAGGAACCAGAAGTTGAAGCACAGATCTGAGCAGTTTTTCCTTAAAGACACCAAACCGTCGGTGATATTCGTCGGTGGTGTCGCTCACAGCGTGACCCGAGGTCTCGCTAACGGATCTGAAGACGTTTATTTCCACGACTGGCCCAAAGTGACACAGAAGACTGGAGGAAACAGTCTAAAAACCTCCAACCTCAGACCAGAAAAACCTCAAACTTCTCACATCTGGGAACTAAAACATTTAGATTTTTGCTTTAAAAATGAGTCGAATCCAAACCAGGAAACGGTTCCGTCACGTTTCACAGCTCCGAGACTCGAGTCCGTCCTTCGTTAGTTTGCTTCCAGACCTGCAGACATCCATCCATGCACGCACAGACACACAACTATACGCTTACACGTGTGAACTATACACTCGTCCACGAGACTCGGTCGATGGACTGTTTTCAGGTTCCACACTGAATGGAGTTTGTACAGGATGCCGACGACAGAGACGAGGACAGAGAGCCGCCAGAAGCACACTGGTGTACAGCATGAGAGTTAGTGTCCGTGTGGGGACCCTGTTTGCCCGCTAACGAGGTCTAAGGGGAAGGTGACAGAGTGTGTGTGTGTGTGTTTTGTGTGTGTGTTGTGTGTCTGCTGTGCGTCTGCATGTTTGCCGTATAGATTTCTTGCCACTAGAGAGGTCCAGGGGAGTGATAAATTGAGCTGACAAACACCGTGGAAGGATCTGTCCCATCTGTCCAGCCCTGTCGTCTGTCTGCCAACTTTAAGACTTGTTGTCCGAGTGTTTGTGTGTGTTTGTGTGTGTGTGTGTGTGTGTGTTGTGCGGTTTGCGTGCTCGAGCCAAAGTGTTTTCCAGCCCAGCTGTCTGGGATCCAGAAAGGCTGGAGGCAGCGAGTCCGAGCCGGGCTGCACAAAAAGCACACAAAGCCCTGCAGACATGGAGCATTGAAAACCGAGTCAACGTGATCCAGAGTCCCACGAGTCCCTCCGTGTGTGTGTGTGTGTGTGTGTGTGTGTGTCTGCTTTTATTGTCCCACAAAACAACACAAAGTTCATCGTCCTCCATCCCAGCGGTCTGCAGCCGATCCTGACGTCCTCCACCGGACTCCCCTCCTCAGAAAGGCCGATGTGTGCACGTCTGTCGGCTGACATTTAGCCGAGTGTGTGTGTGTGTGTGTGTGTGTTTGTGTGTGTGTGTGTGTGTGTGTTTGTGTGCGTTGGTGTGTGTGTGTGTGTGTGAGGTCACATTAACGAGACGTAGAGTAGAAACACACACACAGTCACAGAGGTGTGGTTCAGGAGCGCAGAGGACCGTCGGCTGCTGCTGCTGCTGCTG